AAGTTTCAGTACAACACCCCTCAGGACAACGACTTTGCCTTATTAGAGCTGAAACCGGCAGCCGATGGCTCTCTACCTAAGAACCGACCCATTTGTTTGCCCCGAACTGACACCCCGTACAGTGTGGGCAGTCCTGTGGTCGGCGCCGGATGGGGTCGTACCTCCACTAATAGCGCCGGTAGTACTGTACTAAGGAAAGTGACCCTATATTTGTCAGACAGACAGAGGTGTAGCCAAACATACCAATACTCGGTCACCAATTCTATGATCTGCGCCACAGCTGATGGCAAAGACATGTGTTTGGGAGACAATGGGGCGCCTCTTATGTCGTACTTCGAGGGACGCATGTATTTGTATGGCATCTACTCGTGGCAGTCGTCGGCAGGCTGTGCCACCGGAAGGCCCAGTGTTTTCGGTGACGTTAGATATACTCTCGAATGGATCAGAGATGTGACCAATAATGCCATACGAACCGCTTAACCACCACTACAACCACTACAACCTTGCTCAATTACTCCCCTTGTTGTATTTCTCTCTTTTTGTTCAATAAAACTTTTCATTCAAAATATATGAAGCCTTGAATTAAACAGATTTTGCACTACTATTAAAATAATTGAATTATTTATTTAAAACAAACTTTGAATGAAACCCAAAGTTTGAAACTTTGAATGAAACCCAAAGTTTGAAACTTTGAGAAATTGATTGAAATATTGGCGTAATTTGTGTGAAATGTGTGGAAACGCATGCTTTCGATGTGTTTATGGTTTTGAATGCTTTGAAACAAATTTGCATTCATTTATGTCTTGTATTCATCACTGGATTTGATCCCAACATGAGAGCCAAGCAGACCCGACAGGCGACCAACAGGAGGACTGTCCCCCAGAGGAAGACCAGACAAGTGGTGAAGAATAGCACCGAAGAAGACAACGAAAACGATGACCAAAATGAAGACGAAAGTAGTGATCAAATGAATGGACAAATTGATGTCCAAATGAACGGATCAGATAGTGTTGAGACAATTGTGTCGAAGAAAGAGATCCATTCACCGAAGACACCAACGAAACCATTGACGGAGAGATCAGTGACCGATCTCTTGAGGACTATCACCGAAAACGATACATACTTTTCATCACTCATTGATTTGATTCCTCCGAAGATCTACTTCGAGGGCAACGAAGAGATATTGGAGTCAATGGAGAGCCAGAAGAAGCAGCGGATGGCAGACAAAGTGAATCTGAGCTCAAAAGCGAAACAAAAACTCTTTAAATTGGATCCGAAATCAGACCAAAGAGTGTCTGAAATCGCGAACCAATTCTACGGCAAAACTCGAGGCAAGAAGAATGAGTTGAATTCAAAGCCAAACAACAACTCAATGGACAATAAAATGCAAGAATTGAGGCATAAATTGAACGAAAAGATCACTCAATTGAAGTCAAATAGGGGTCAGAAGACAAACGCCAAGCAATTGAGAGAATCGAAGAAACAGCGGAAGAGGGAGAACGCCATGAGAGCCACCAAACAGAAGGGTTTCGCCAAACGACAGATCACTGCCGAGACCACCGATGAAGTGGACGCCAATGGAGTGCAACCGAAGTCCAAGAAACGCAAAACAGATGACAATAACAACGAAGAGACGGACACGAAGAAGGCGACGAAGAGTGCGATCGAAAAGATGCCGAAAATCTATAACAAAGAGGGAAATATTGTTTACTCGAAGTTTGATTTGGTTTCGCCCAACGGGTCCACGAAAGACAGGAAACCGTCGAAGAAGAATAAGTTGAAGAAACTGTTGCATCAGACGAAGAAAGAGGAGCAGAAGATGTCGACACTGGAGACGAGTGACGCCAACAAAGCCAAAGAGGTTAAGCAGAAGAAGCTGTGGAGGAATGCCATCGAGAAGAGTGAGGGCATCAAAGTGAAGGACAACTCGAAACTGATCGAAAAGTCAGTGAAACGACGCGAGAAGATGAAGAAGAAGAGCTCCAAACAGTGGGAGGAGAGGAAGGAGTCGTTGGATAATCGGATGAAAACAGCTAACGATAAGCGCCAGAGGAATATCGACAAGAGGACGAGGGATANGGTTCGTATGGCATTATTGGTCACATCTCTGATCCATTCGAGAGTATATCTAACGTCACCGAAAACACTGGGCCTTCCGGTGGCACAGCCTGCCGACGACTGCCACGAGTAGATGCCATACAAATACATGCGTCCCTCGAAGTACGACATAAGAGGCGCCCCATTGTCTCCCAAACACATGTCTTTGCCATCAGCTGTGGCGCAGATCATAGAATTGGTGACCGAGTATTGGTATGTTTGGCTACACCTCTGTCTGTCTGACAAATATAGGGTCACTTTCCTTAGTACAGTACTACCGGCGCTATTAGTGGAGGTACGACCCCATCCGGCGCCGACCACAGGACTGCCCACACTGTACGGGGTGTCAGTTCGGGGCAAACAAATGGGTCGGTTCTTAGGTAGAGAGCCATCGGCTGCCGGTTTCAGCTCTAATAAGGCAAAGTCGTTGTCCTGAGGGGTGTTGTACTGAAACTTCGGGTGAAATATCACTTGATTTACAGTATAGACACGTTTATTGGTCTCGGTTTTGGTGACATCGTGTGCGCCCACTATTACTTTGATGTCCGGTACACCAGAGGTCGAGTCAACGATTTCTTTGAGTCTTAGGGCTGAAGTGAGGACAACGTTTCCAGCGATTAACGATCCAGTTCCTATGAGTTGTCCGTTATATGCGATTACCACCTGAATGTCGTAAATAAGTCAACATTATTACACAAACTAAATGCTGTCATCTAATGATGCGGTCATACAATCCATGGAAACTCTTGTAGCTGTGTCTCAGTTCCGCCGACAACTCGTTTCGATAGTTTAAGGTTAGGGACTCCGCAGCTATTATAGTTGGGTTGTATGGGTGGGTCCAGTGCTGGGCTTGTGGTCGAGTTCACTGCCAAACAATAGGTCGCATCTTTGGTATTGTCTGCAATCCATTTCAGATATGATGTAATTCTTGTATAGACTCCCGGATAGTCGTCGCGAGCACAGCCTTTTAAAAATGGCATATTTTGGTTTACAAAATAAATGATCAACTCATTCATTTAAAATACATACCAATACCCCACGAGACAATACCCACGATATCAACCCTACCATTGACAACAGAGGTGAGGGGTCCTCCCGAATCTCCCTGAACACTCAAATCAAAACAAATGTCAATTCAATTAACACAATCAACACGTGCCCTTATCCTGCTCACCTGACAGGTGTCGTGACCACTAACACCACCGGCGCATAATTGGTTGATTGTGAGGAGACCACTGTATTTGTCTTCGCATTTCGCAAATGAATATTGAGGTAAAGAGATCTCATTCAATGTGGAACTGGTTCGTCCGCCTTCAGAAGTACGGCCCCAACCGGCAACCTTGAGGTTATCAGGGTCACTCAGATCACTGGGTGGCAGACATACGGGTTCGATGTTATCGGTGTACTGAATGGGTTGGGACAGTCTTAGGAGTGCGATGTCGTCCTTTTGAGACACAGAGTTGTATTTCTCATGAATTGTTATTTTGGAGATCTTTAGGTTAGGTGTGGGCTCTTGAAGGCTGTACTGACCAATACGTACAGCAATACTGTCAGGAATTTCATCGTAGACACAGTGAGCCGCTGTTACGACATAACTAAACATAAAATTGAAATTAATTATCAATCAAGAAGGTGTGATAAACAGTACTAATTGTTGATAAGAGCGCCGCCACAGAAAGGAGATCCACGACTCGAGCCAACGGATACCATCCATGGGTACCGATGCGGAGGGTTTACTGGTTGGCCGCCAACGATACGCTTAGTTAGTCGTAGGTTTTCTTTGCCACAGGCTTTGGTAATATTATATTAAATATTAATTTTTATAAAATTTTAAAATATATTTAATTGCTATAACTTTTGTATACTTACGACAGCCTTCAGGGGTGAGCTCCGGGAGCCGAGCGGGTGCCGCCTCGGGTCTGTCGTGTTCAACAAACTTAGCTCTAAATCCTTTGCTAGTGTTCACTGAATTTGAGTTGAATTTAATAAGCATTCTGTTGGAGTCCGATATTATAACGTCTGGTTTTTGATTACCACAAAACCTGTTGTGATATAAATTTATTAAGTTAATTAATGTTTGTTTTGTCAAATGACATACAAGTCCTAAACTAATTAATATGGTATACAATTTACAAATTCATTAATTCTGAACCATAATATATAATATTCTATTTTAGACACAATATCTTTTGGTTTTACTTTTGTAAATTTAATATTTTTAAATTCATTAGTTTAAAATTCTAACACATGTATTGTGTAATTGAAGTGAAAACAAAACTTTTAATATTAATGATTTGATCAATAAAATTATAATGCATTTGTATTAAAGCTCAGAAGTCCGTAATTACGGGAAATTAAATTAAATTTTGAAATATAGTAGTTCTGTATATATTATAATGAAAATAATTTAAAAATAAAATACATTTTTATAAAATTATAAATTAGTGTTGAATGTACAAAGAATTTGATTGTTAAGTCAATAGAGAATAAATTTATGTTTGTGTAGATATTAAAATTATAAAAATGTTACGAAATATTTGTTTGTTTGTAGTTTTACATAATATGTCAATTAAATTAATATTTCATAAAACTCAACAAATTATATTAAATTTAAAGAATAATTATAAAGTTAGAGCAAAAACTATACAAACCTTTGGACATCAGTTTCCAAGTCACCACTTTGGCTGACAAGCAGATAATCCTCGGCGCAGATATCGTTGGGGGCATTGATAGCAAAGGAGTCGTCAAAAAGCAATTTAATATACTTTCCTTTCGGAACCTCAATATCCCAGACACAGGTCTCTTCCTCCCCATAATTGTTGGGATAATTGGGTGATTGGATTACACCTTCCTTTTGATTGACCAATTTATGCGAGCATTCAATTTAATATACTTTCCTTTCGGAACCTCAATATCCCAGACACAGGTCTCTTCCTCCCCATAATTGTTGGGATAATTGGGTGATTGGATTACACCTTCCTTTTGATTGACCAATTTATGCGAGCATTTCGAGGCAATGAGTTCAGCCCTGATCTGAAAGCCTCGGTCCTGACCGAAGGAATTGCCGGTGAACTCAATTCTGGCTGAACTCGAGTCAGAGACCATAGTCTTTCCGGCATGAAGTCCACAAAATCTATAGATTTGGTGCCAAAAACAACACATTAATAGGCATTAAAAATAGAAAGACAATGTAATGATTGCAATACACTCTCATCTCTCCCTTAGGAAAAATTATTTTTAAATTAGTGTCTTTGCAATGATCTGACGGCTCGATTGCTATATATTCTAATTTAATCCTCAGTCGAGTTGACAACTGGTCGATGTTCTCGCTTAGGTTCACCTGAAATGTGGGTTTCAAACAGTTTTAAGTATAAGTATTTGGTTTTATAATGTTATTTATTAGTTTACCTTAAGTTCATAGTTTATTTTATAGTCTTTAGGGTAGGGTTTAGTCGGAAAACCAGGACTTTCGATGATTTTCACATCGTTTGTGTGGACCAATTCAATATTAATGGTCTCAATGCTTGAATTATTCACATTCTGTGCGATTGTCAATGAATTAGAGACAATAATTATGGTGAATGACACCACAAATATGTTTTCTAAGAATCTCATAATCAGCTTCTCTTAATTAGCTATCACTACAACACTTTACGCTATTAATGAATTTTAGAAAATAATTCTCCTATTAACTGCTCTTGCTACATTTAAATATGTTTTGTGACAATTTTAGATAAATAATGACATTTAAAATCTGATTGTTTCTATAATTAATTAGTTATAATTTTATGATGTAAAGAATATTTGGTACAATTGTACTGATTGAAGAGTATTGGGTATTATTTGCGTAAAACTATTTACAAACCCGTCTAATATAATATATTATATTAATTGTGAACATAATAATATTTGAAAATCTGTTTCAGTAGTTTTATTAATGATAATTAAAAATACTTATACAGTATTTTAGAAATTTTATTTTATAGAAAAATATTACATCCTTTTGAGTGCAATAACAAAAATATTTATTAAAAACTCAAATGAAATGAAATAAATCAAAATTAATATACATTTATAGTATGCTATTGTTTTTGGCTGTGAACGTATGAAACTTTATATGAGAAGTCTGAATGTTATGTCATTTTAACATTGAATTGTCAATTCTCAATGGGAATTAGCGTCGGATTAGATTTGGTTTTGTGACCAAATATAATGAGAATCAATAATAGAGTCATTATATTAATTAATTTTACGCTCAAATTCAAAGCACTTATTAATTGGTTGAGTGACCAAAACAGACATTACATTCATATCTTTAATAAACTAAAGACTAATGAATGGACAGTACAGTTTATGTATATTCCAGCACAATTGCTAGTATTAGTAACTACTATACATAATAAATAATAGTGAAATAGTGAAAACTACTATAAATAATAAAAATGAATTAAAAATTCCTGTATTATAAGACAAAGTACATTTGACACACTCTGAGTACTCATTAAGTTTGAACTAATTCTATACATTTTTATAAAGTCCTTTTATACACTTTAACAGCTGTTATACACACTCTTAATACCGGTATTATTATTTAACTTAAAACTATACTTTCATTCAATATTTGATATATTCACTAATATTTTATATCAAATATATTATTCTAGTTTTTAGAATAAAAGAATTATTATTAATAATAAAATACAATTTATAATATCAAATACTTATTAAATTCTTGTTAATAATAATTATTTTGTTTTAGTGATTCTTATATCTAAAATTTAAGTCTAAGTTTAAATTTAAATTGCTTCCATAAATCTTGCTTTAATGAATTCATACATTAAAATTGTAACACAGGTTATTGTAATATATACATTATTTGATTAAACATCTAATTTTCTGATTCAAATAAAACAAATTCTAAGCTTTATTTTCATTTCAATTTTTCAATATAATAAAAAATATTATGAATTATTCAAATTTTATACACTAGTGTTATCAAATTTTAGATAATTATATTGGCATCTTTGTCATATGGCTGACTGTTTTTTATAATGTCTATTATTAAAAGTCTCTTAATATTTGTACAGTAAAACACTTTTGGAAATTTCCAGCATAAGATAAATATGTATTTTTAGATAAATAATATTTTTCGGTCAATATATTGAAAATCTGGGGAAAGTTTTATAGCCTGATATGTGAGAACAGGTGCAGAATATTCTGTTTGATAAGTCTCTCCTATTTATATCAATTTCTTAGGTCTCATTGTAAAACGGCTGACTATATGAACAAAATAAATAAAAGACATAAACATTGATGTCATGTCTTATAAGCTCTTGAATGTAGAAAATAAAAGTCAAGTCAAGGCTTAAGTCAAAAGAAGCGTAAAGTATTTGAAAGTATTGGACGGCATATGATATCATAAATATTTCTCTCGAAAAAATCTTTATTAGATTAATACAGATTTAGTCTCTTTGACTAAGGGATTGACTCAAAATAAATATTATATTAGAAATACTAGGAAAAATGGGACACCCATTTGGTAAACACACACTTTTCATATTCAGATGTCCTTGGAATNCTAATCAACACTTTATGTGAAGTTTACTCTATTTGTTATAAAACACTGACATTTAGTTTCTTTTGTTTTGTCAACTGTAATACATTTATGGGTGAGTTGTTCTTGAATATATTATTTATTTGCTCAACATTATATTTACTTGTTAGTTAAATTTTGAAATAAAATTTTAAATATTTATTTCCTTTTTAAGTGCAATTTATAAGTAATAAGTTATAAATACACTATTAATCTATTGAATTTGTTTCATCTAATTATATAAATGCATATGAAATATAGTTAAAAATAAAGTGTAGATGTTTTATGCAATACTAAACGAAATAAAAGTTAATTTAAAGAATTGATTCAATGATACAAATAAATAGCAATTCTTTAGAAATAGACTTTATTTTACTAAGAAATACAAATAGTTTGCCATTTATTGACTATTCTTCTCAATTATGTTTAATCCATTTGATCGCATGATTTCTCCATAAAAAGAGACCGCTTTCGTGCTGTAATAACACACAGAATATTCTGTGTTTCAAATGATTTTTACAATTCAATCATCGAATTAAACGAATGAATTATTTTGTTGTGCGAAATAAGGTCACCGACTATTGGGGTGACTCTTGTAAGTCCTCCTCAGGAAATAATGGTTTCATTTGTCTCATGGATAATGAGCTTTTGAACGATTGCTTTACCAATGAATGTGATGTGAGAATGAA